CATCTGCTAGGTACACTTGTCTCGCTTTCTTCGCTTCTTTAGTGTGGTGGCCATATTTGTTGCATATTTTCTTATCGATGAAATCGTCGGTGGCCCCAGAGTCGTGCATTGCATATAACGTTGTTTCTTCATCTTCTTCGCTATATATCTTCATCTTAATCATCATATGATCTCCATCTCCTTCTCCTCTTTGCATATGTAGTGCCGAGTAGTAGTTTGCTAACTTGATGGGTTTTCCAGGTCCACATCTTGGATCTCCCAGAGCGCTATTTACTGGGAACCCTCGTCTTTTTGCGCAGGTGAATCTTCTGCGATCATTTCGCGAATGTTGCTCCTCATTTGATTTTGGAAGCGATTATTTCCAGCAGATTTGGTGCCTTGGTATCTACTGTCGGGCCGGCTTCTGCGTTCTCGTATTCGATGTCCCGCTTTTCTGCACGTTAAGCAGAGTTTCCCGTTCATTCTTCTGGCGTACTCTTCCTTAGACAGGTTCAGTGTAGGTCCTGCTCATGATTTGTCCAACTCCATTGGCTCGCCTGGTGGTAATGCACGACTTTCTCCTCAAGCTGCTTGCTGTTTGAAGGTTCTGTCGACATTCCTGCATGATTGGACCACTCTGTATGCTATAGTGTTTTCCGAGTTGCTTCGAACCATGTTTAGTTTACTTTCCTTATTGATCACCTATCTTGCAAATCGTTCTCCTGATGTGAAGTGTAAATTGGAGATTCCCCATGCCTCTCAGAGTCTCTCACTGCAGTTTCTTGGGAGGATGATATATAGAGTAGTATTATCAAACTCGGCCTCGTATTCCAATAGTCGGCATTCGTTCCAGTATGCCAAAAAGGGTTGTTTTCCTTTTTGGAGTTTTTCCAGCTTTTGTCTTGCTGTCTCTTTAGCGTTCAGATCCCTGAATTGTTTGAAGAGTGTCACCTTGAACTCCTCGTACGTGACCCATTCCCTGTTTCCTTCCATCTTGGAAGGGCATAATCCATTGCCCTGCGAGTCCTCTTAGTAGAGATTCCACACATGGAATGTTGATCTCATCGTGGTGTTCTCCATATTCTTTAATGGCAAAATACCCTTCGCATTGTGCCAAGAATATTCGTAGCTTATCTTCAGCTCCTTTGTATGTGTTGGATTCTTTTGCTTTCGGTCGTTGGATGTTTCCTTGTCCTGTGTTTCGTGTTGCTGCTAGAAATGCCTAAAACTGATTCTCAGTCATTCCAAGCATGCTATTGCCTGGTGCTGGAGAGGCGTAGGCCAGTAGCCCCGGTACTGCTGATCCCGACATTCTGTCAGGTCGTGGAGTTCCTGCAGGACCGCAATCAACTGGTGATCCTTTTTCTGGGGTTACTGGGTTTGCTGCCCTTGAGGGCTCTGCTGGAACGTGATCTAGGGCGTTGCTGAATCCCTCAAGGTTAAGGTTTTGATCATCGATGTCGATATCTCCTTCCCTATCTGGGTTGAAAGATGCTGTCTTGTATCGTTTAGTATCGCACTAGGTGACACTTTGTAATGTAATGATCCCTCCTTGGATAGTTAGTTCTTGGCGACGGGGAACGATACTTCTCTTCTTCTGTTTCTTTCCTTTTTCTTAAGATAGCACTAGGCCTCTGCCTACGTTACCAATAGTATAAGACCTTTGTCTTCTATCGGGAACGGCTATCGTAAGCTTTCTCTAACTCTTCTTCGCAAAAAACTTTCCTTAGCGTAACGACAACATTGCAATAAATATAAAGATTGGAAAGGTGTTTTATATTCATTAAAGTAATAAGTAGGAAAAGTACTTGGAACAAAGCGTGAAGAACATATCCTCCTTGGCTGCCTCGGCCTCCTTATATAGTGTTCTTCCCACCCATAGTCATGTGACCCAAAGTGGTCACATGTGTGAAACCAAATCATAACAAACTAGTCATGTGACCAAAGTGGTCACAAGCTCAAAACCCATAAACTCATAGCGAGGTCATGTGAAAAAACTCATAAACCAATCATAACGTAATAAACAAGTCATATGACTCGACTGAGTCATATGTGTGAAACCCATGACCTCATAATGAGGTCATGTGTGAAACATAAATCATATGCGCAAGGCTTACCCGCAAGGCCCACTCACAAGGCATACTCACCAGGCACATGTCCCCTGACTCATATTTACGCAATGTACGAAAGCATCACAAATCCCACACATAACAAATCATATGACTCGAATGAGTCATATATCTAAAACCATAACATACCTGTGACTCATAACTATGTGTCATGTGAAAACCTTTTTCATGCCAAGCCACGTTCGTGACATGATACTACATCTTACAAATCCAGCACTTGGAAAGCTATCTCCCTGGGGTCAGCCCCGGTTTCATAATTTCCTTAACTATGGAGTTTGGGGTAGTCCTTAACAGAAATACTAAAGCCAGATCATGTGTTATTTTTGAATAACCTCATAATGTAAACCATTTAGTTTTTTTGTTTTGTTTTCGGAAATCATTTGTATCAATTATTACCCCCGAGATAACTTAACATGTAATATCAGATATTTTTATAGTAATCTTTGCAGCACACAGGAAACAAATTATGGAAGTCTAGCAGTCAGATATGGTTGTCGTCGGTACAGCTGTAAAGGTTGAGTTTAGAGGAAATAGGTAGGCACTTGTGTGCATCTTAAAAGAAATCTTTCACCAGGATGTAATAGAGAATTGGTTGAGGGTGGGAGATAGTAATCTGTTGACTTAGAGTGCTTCAGAGATCTTCTGGTTGAGGTTGGGAATGCGGAAGTATCTCACAAACCCGGGCTCATAATATGAAAATATTTGTATCAAATGTACTAACTGTTATAATAACAAAGTAACAATAATAACCATAATAAAATCTGAAGACTTAAAGATTAATCCAAGCTTGCACACTCTCTATAAGAATAGGGCTGAACCTGCTCTTTATCTACCCCTTTATCATTATATGAGTACTACCTCATATCAAAAAAAACTCTAGAAGACGCTTGCATACCATAGAAGATGCTAGAATATGATAGCATATATACTCAGTCATGTGGCTGTATCACATGACTAATACGTCCCCATCACTAAATAGGACAGAAATAACATAATTTCCAACAATTTGGCCACAATTGTGGGCTTAGGTTTGTGTTCCTTCTTCTTTCCATTACTGACTACAGTCACCTAAGTATGTGCACTAACCAAAACAAGCAAAGAGGTAAAGGAGATACTCAGAGCTTGTTATAGTAGTGAGGTAGATGTAGACTCTTGCTAAGTAGGTGGGGGGCTATAGTGGCAGGCTTGGTAGTAAGTGTAGTCACAGATGCTTTTATGAAGTAAGCAGTATCCTTGTAGACTTCTAATCTATTTGTGAGGCTATTAAATTGCTCTTACAGTCCATCAACTGCCTTTCTGTAGCCATCATATGCATGTTACAGTATCATGCAGAAGATATTGACATATGTTTGTGAGTCTAGTTTCTGAAAGTCTAAGTCAACCACTGTCTTGATGAAAAGATGTTGGAAGTAGTTGGTAACAGGCTGTGTTCATTGTTTGCAGACATCTTAAATCACAGGATGGGATAACATACTGTCATTTTGAGGTCACTAAAGCATATACCAGTGCCTGGAGGCCATGGGGATCCAATGATTGTCGATAAGGTAGACTGGCTACTTAAACCCACCGGCCTGGTCATGTGTGGGATTTGTGTCTTCTGAGAAAGAGGGGTGGTATACTTTACTCCTACATTGTTCTTGCTAAGGACTATAGTAAAATGAAAACCTCTTTATCACTAAGTAAGGGATAGAAGCAAGTCAGTTAGGAAATGGTTTTAGTAAAAGAGAAGAGGTCTTAGTAAAAATTAAGTTGTGGTTTTTTCTTCGACTGTAGTTGCAACGGACGGATCACGCAGCACATTAGCTACTCCCTATTACGTTTCATTCTCGTAAGGATCCGTAATAGGAATTATAGGTCACACTTCTTCACATATTTCTATTTGTGTGTCAGTACAATTGTGGGGAGAGTTGTCATAATCATGTCATATTACTTCCTTTTACCACCCTGTACAACACCTTTAGAACTACTGAGTTCTCTTAGTATCAAATGTATCTCTACTGAATATTCTCTACTGATTCTACCCATCCTAGATCTTGAAAAACGTCATGCATGACCTTCCCAATATCTTAATCAATAGTTAGTAGGATATGATACCTGAGGTGTTATCATATTTTACAGATACGATACGAGTATTCATTTGCTTTCGAGTGATACCTCATGATCACAGCCTCCGTCTCCACTTATCTGTAATTTTCCCACAACGTCCCTGTATTCTAAGTGAAGCACTCTATCACGTTTCCCTATATTATAGAGTTCTCTGCGGATCCACTTCAATGGCTGCTTCTGGGCTTGCTTTCCCGCGGACTAAGCACGAGGTTTTTCAAATTCTTGGACTTAGGGCTACATGTAGGATAAAAGTCCTATGATAGCTCCGCATCCCCACACCACAGCTCTCAATGCGGAAAACCACGAGGCATCACCTCATGTCCCAAAACGCCCCGGAATTACCACCATGATACTTTAACTATGAATGATACCAAGACTTTCCATGTCCCCCCCCCATAACCCTACCATATGGCCCAGCACTCCCTAGACTGCCTCAGGGGCTACGTTCCCCAGGATATAATCACTCAAACACATCTCTCTACCAGTCATCATCAGATGGCAATTTCCGAGCACTTATCATGGACTCTCACTCGAGAAAATTTACTCCGCTCCCTGTATCTGTAAATAGTAGAGCACGTGGAATCCCCACCGGCAGTGCATCTGGCTATTCAAAGTGGGGCAACCCCAGGGCTAGCATTTACCCACACCGTCATAATATATCTCTCTTCTCCACCCAGGAGTGCCCCCGAGTTCGTCACCCCCTTCTCTTCAGGAATTCTCATGCTCCGAGCCTGCCGGGGTTTAGGCCTTGCTATTACGCCCTGTAAGTACAATGGCAAAGTGACATGAGATCGGGCAAAATAAATAATGACCCTAATCCAGAGTATCCACACCAGTCTGGACCGCACAACTACTAATCATATCTCCTCACTCGATATCCTGTCCCGCAAACACCCCCCCCCCACTCTGCACCACCTACTAACCCACAAGAACGCGCTCCCGTTCTATCCCAATAACCGGAAGTCTCTCCGCGATAAAGCCGTCATCCCGAAGTAAACTAGGAATCTGCTCTGGGGGATGCATATATAGTCCCTGTCACAAGCACTCGACCATCTCAGCCCCATTCACTCCCGCAGACCCCACCCGTAGCAGAACCGAGGGAACAGAACAGTAGGTGGTGGACTTACGCTACGGACATTAGCATACGTATCTTCCCTAGCTTGATACTGCTTAACAATCTCGCCAGTCTCGAATTCGATGAACAACCTAGTGTCTCTGAGCCGGAAAAGAACACCATCGAGCCTCATGAAGAAGCGCTGAAGGATGAGCAGGCGCTCGGGCATCACGCGGATTTTAACACTAAGGATTGAGATGCCGTTGTCGGCAAGTTCGTCCTCGTAAAGCATCACGTCATCAAAGAGGAGAATGGGGTCAGGGCGCTTGAGCTTCTCGAAGGGTATTTCACTACCGGTCTGTTGGAATGGCCTATCGGGGTTCTGATCGCGTTAGTGTTTTCTTATGATCTAGGAAGAGGGGCATAGCGGATGAATGTGGGGTAGCCACATGAACAGTTCCTTGGTAATTAGTAGTGTACGTCCAATCGTAAGGCTTCACAATCTCCTTGATATCCTCATGTACCCGCTCGCGCATCCTCTGCCATGCTTCAGAGTACGAAACTTTTAACATTGACTCCCCAGACTTATCGACCAGCTCGAGGGCATCCAACGCGTTAAAACTAATGGACCAGTTGAGCCTCTCGTTGGTTACCTCGACGCTGTTGTTCCCAAAGATCATCTCGGGAGGCGAGATGCCCAAGGTTGTAGTCATGGTCTCGATTTCGGTGCTATTTAGGATAGGACGCTTGTGAGTTGTTACTTTCCAATCACCTCGGGTAATAGATTTACCCACGTCGATGTTGGGAGCAGTTTGTAGCGGCGGTGATCTCGACATCCCTTTATTGTTTGTTGAGGGAATGATGGTGAGGTTGTCAGTTGGAGATGGGGACGTATCGCGCCTCCACTATTGCGCTCGTTGCCGCTGTGGTGGGGTAACGTGCAGCTCTGGACCCAAGACAAATTAGGTCTAGTTTATCCGCTCCAGAGCTTTGACCACAACCTTAATATCATACAACTGGTACTACAGTATGTACAACCGGCGCTATGTTGGATGCCACTGTCAATTACGCAAGACTGCAACATCACACCTCGGTATTGGTAGGAAGCCCTCCTGATGGAACCATGTACTCTCGTCCCTTGTGGGGCCATAAGGTGTGCTTATTTCCAGCGACTGACTCCAGCCAATTGCTAAAGCTACATCACAAAGCCTTCCCATCCTCGCGTCCTCTTTTTAATAACCAAGCTATCTAGTAATATTATACTATACACCGAACAAAGCCCCGTACTCCTCCAGCCATCCAAACTCCCCAGATAAACCTGGGCAGAAAAAGAGAAAAAATGCCCAAAATCAGATCACATATAATTAAAAAAGGGGACAAAGGAAGTACGCAATTACTAACACACGGATAACAAGAAACAAGCAAAAACTATGCATTATTAGAGTGAATTTTCCAATGCCGTTTAACAACCGTGGAAAAGAGCCGTGAAGGTGATCGATAAATTAAACCTCGATGTGCCCTCCCGTCGTAACTGCATCCACCTTTAGTACCAAAACTCCCTCGTATGTAAAGATCACAACTAGGCTAAGTAGAAACCCCTGGTGCGCTATAAATACCATTTCGCAACCGATACGATACACACCTCCCGAAGCTATCCGAACAGCCCCGTTACCTAATGGAAGAGGATGTCGAATTCCCACTTAGTACTAATCACCGCCATTGTTTTTCTTCCGCTTGCCAATCCCCTCCCCGCCCCAACCCTCGGAGCCACAGCAGTACCTGCTGCTTCCTGGCCGACTGCAACCCAGTATTTGTGAAGCCTGCAACCGCCTAACGGCGTCTCCCATGTCCATTTAGCATCAGCGGACGCTGAGTACCACGGTGATCGTTGCACCGATCCTGGTTTCGTTTTAGCCATAAGTATCCAAATTGAAGTATGACAACTCTTACTTCAGTCTCACTTCTCTTTCCCATTGTTTTTGGCCAACCAAATTTATAGATCTTAGCATGGCGTTCGCAGCGTTTGCACGCTGTCGGGATATTGGACTTTTCAGCATGTAAAAAGGATTCCCGGCAATCGGAACAGACGCAAGATATACCGCTCTTGTTCTGGGCGAGGTAATCTCCAGGAACGCGCCTTGCGGGCGGTTCAGAAGGATAAAAATGAGGTTTACTCCCTATAATTCGGGATCCCTTTTTAGCCTTGGATAGTTGTTTCCTAATCAGTCGCTTAATATCGATCGTCTGTGTTTCGTCATCAAAATCTGAGTCATCGACTTCTGTGAAATCAGACAGCTCGCCATCCCAGGCACGTAGCGCACTACTTTCAGACTTCGTCAACCTGTCATCCAAGAAACAGCCAGTACCAGTCGGTGGTTGCTCGAGACCCGTTCTAGAAACACAATCATCGCAAGCTTGATTGATGGTTATCTGGGGCAGGGGCCGCGCTTGCAGCTCGCTCTGAGGAGGATTTGAAATTGCTTCTGATTGCACCCGCCCGGGAAAGCCTCCTTCAGCTAGTCTACCCAATGGTAACGAACCCGATGCATACTGCAGAGGTTCATTTAATTCCCCTACACGTGCTTGTGATGCGCTTAAGAGAGCTGATGCTCTCGAAACATCTGCAAAGTTCATAGGAGTCACAGCCCCGTCGGTCTCCGGAGGTGTTTCCGGTCCAATTGCTCCAAGCACTGGTGTAGAATACCTAGAATGCACGCTCATGTCAGGAACAGGAGGGGTGCTACGGAGCCCCTCAGAAAGTCCCCGAACACTATTCGGAGGGCTTAGAACAGAGGACCCGTTTCCAGAAGTCTTTTGCTTCTTGGTCTCTTGTATGGTTAGCGAGTGAGTAGAGTTTCTCTTTCGCTTAGACCTCCTGGCCAACACAAACCCTCCTGCCACTGCTTGGATTGCGGAGCCATCCTCCTCCATGGGTTGTAGATCCTCGACAGCCCCCGAAGCCCATCCACTGCGCCCCAATCCTTCACAGGTCCTGCATAAGCATTCCCGATTACCCTCCCCAAAATAGTCATCTGCATACTTGACTGTGATCTCTTCACCCGCTTTGATATCCCTTTCTACATACAAATTCACATGCTCCTTTCCCGCGGTGGTGAACTTGCAATTTGGTTGGCAATCGTGATTAATAAACCTAGCAGGCCCCAGTAGCAGGCTCATGGCGCCAACGCGTGAAGAATAAATGATGCTGAAGTCTGATTGCACTCGGGAAAGGGATTGCTCTTCGTTATCAGACATCTTGACCAACACCCCAGTCAGATATTTGACCATCTCGCCACGATGAAGATGTTTCCGAGCTAATACACATGCCTCGGGCCTCATAGGATCAAAACGATTGGTGCTAGCGACTTCGAAGGCAGCGTCCGGCTGATAGATTGATAGGTAACGGCGAGCATGTCTACCATTGCACAGTCAGTCTTGTTTATTCGGCCGGCCTAGTTAGAAGAGTCAACATGCTTCGAAAATTCAGCCTCAACATGGGCCCCACTCCTTAAATATTGCACGACTCCAGGTAGGCTGTAGCAAAATAAAACATTAGCCCAAGACAAAGCAAGATACCTCTGGAGAATATAACAGATTTGGTGGAAGGGGAGGGTGAGGGGTAAGGGGGCAATCGGCATTCCTAAGGTCTACAGTTCTCCCTTCATCGCCAGAGCCGCGGACATTGAATCGCAAGAGGGCAAAACACACCGTAGAAATTTCTCCAATGCAACTTTGACATTCTTGTTTTCGACCACATCTTCAATAATGATCTTCAAGATTGCCTTAGTATTGAGACGGCGACTCGAATGATAAACGCCTTTGATTTTTCGGATGGTAGTCCAATAATGAACCTGCGACACGGTTGGACTTCAGTAAGGGTAAATTCTTTTTCAAGGACATCTCAGGGGGCAGTACACGGTCGACGAGGGAATCTGTTAGAAAGTCATCGTATTCTGCTAGCAAACTCAAGATTGATTTATGGTTCGTCGAAGAGAGCATCTCCCCCATGCCAGAGTCAAGTCTTCTAACAAAAAAAAAAAAAAGATAAAATATTAATGAATGAACTGGGGGAAAAAATGTAGAAAAAGGATATGACGAAAGACAGTTATTTTAAGCAGCGAATAAATAAGTCGGAGATGGTGATAAAGGGGCGAATAAAGGAAAAAACAAGGAGCTAGAAGGACCCTCAAAGATAACAAGAATAACAGGAAGAATGGAAAATAAGGGGGAAATATTAGAGTTTCTGGAGAGGTTGATGTGGGAAGATGGAATAAGAAAGATCTCTCTGCCCTGAAGGAGGGCAGGAGGAGTGAGTAGGGAGGGAGGTTTGGTTGAGGTAGAAAAGGCGAGGAAAAGCGGTACTGTATTTGAGTACAAGTAGTGAGACAAGTTTTGAAGCAACAAGATCCCAGCCCGCAATCAGAACATCGAGGCACACCCACCCAAAAAGGCTTGGATCCCAGGCCACGCGAGGGGAGTTGTCTGAATCGGGCACGGAATCAGGGCAAGGAAAAGAAAACTCCGGAATCCCAATCATTAAATTTAGCGGGAAATCCCCCGGATAATCTGGACATACCACTACGGCCCAGTTACGAGTACCTCTCAGTTCCCGAAGCTCAAGGATGAAAGAAAGCCACAGCACTCGCGGATGTTCTCGAGTACGTATAATGATACTCCTATCATACTCGCAGCTCGTCGTACTCGAGAGCCAGGTGAGGGAGGAAAGGCGTATGACGAGAGCTAATCCTCCCCTCCCTCCCTTCCCGCTCTCCCCTCCTCTCTTTGTTTGCTCCTGGTCAAGGCAAAAACTTGTTATCCCACATTCACAAGTTGACGGCACGGTAGATGGGATAATAACAAGCTCGTGGATTTCTTTTTCCACTACGGTAATGGAGCATGATGCACTGCATTTTGTGTCACAGAGAAATGAGTGAAAAAGCCATACAAAGGGCTGACCCACCCAACACCTCCTCCCCCGACCGGGTGACCTAAGAAATCGAGACATCAGTTGTATTCGTACTTGTACCAGTATCCCGCTCCATGGAAATGTGCGAATCGACTTTAGGTTATCATACTATCATAGGAGGGAATACAGGTATGGAATTATGTTACCCTACCGGTACTCCATTTCGATGCAAGCCAGGGGGCGGTAGGGTGAAGGTGCAACAGGAGCACCTTCCTTTTCCCCAATCCCACCAAAAATGCTCCATCTGACCAGGGATGAGCCACATGATTAAATTTTGATAAACCCCCCCCATAATTTATCGGGCATCAAATCAATCATACCGGTATGATACGGCATATACACTGCTGGGGCATTGTCATATGTGACAACAATAACAACATCTCATATCAAACGAGAATTACTTAATCTGAGCTCTTATTAAAGAAACTAACAGTTGCTGTCAGCTGGCAAATAAGATTCAAAAGCATGGAAAGTGCTACATGTGCAATAAAATTAGAAAATATTATTTTTATTAAGTAGTTGTAAGATATGAATATTATGGTATCATATTTTGTAGAATTTCTTAATTAAATGTTGGTAAGATATATAAATAAGTAGTAAGAGAAAATATTTTTAATTTAATTGTATAAATCATATTTCAGCAAAAATAAAAAATGAGAATAGTTTTAAAATATAATGTGGATTAAAACTATAAATATATTATTAAAGGTATGAGAAAAAATTACTAGAAATAAGACAATAGTTTACAAAAACTGAGAAATATCATAAAAAATATGAATTACAATAATATGTAGGATTTATAAAATAGAGAAAATTAAATAAAAACCATATGATTATGATATGTATAAATTAATATATAGTCACTAGACATAAGTCACGGTGATTGCGCCATCTGAGACATGGTCTGTGCACAGGAGGTATTGCGCAACTGGAGAATAATGGTAGAAAATATATACAATATTAAATACAACTAGTACTTCGTCTACTACCCTTTTGCCTCGATCACCACAGTCATCCTAGAAGGCATAGATTTCTGGAGCTTCTCAATGAAGCTGTCTGAAATAGTGGGCTATACATGGGGTAAGACCTCAGCTAACCTATAGCATACTTTCTCAGGCACCATCTTAGCTTCTAGAATATCCATATACTGCTTGTGAAGCTGGTACTTAAGCTCTATCCAGGCATGTTCGATTGAGTTCAGATTGAGTGAAAGGGGTGGATGATCTTTCAGATCTATACCATTTTCTTCAAGCCAAGCTAAGGTGTCTTTTGCGGTATGAACTCTCACATTATCTTGCTGAAACAGTGGATCTTCAACCTCTATGTGCTCAGCGATCTCTTCCATAACCGGTCCTAAAATAGACTCTAACACACTAATATAGACATGTCTGTCTACCCGGGCCTCCCTACTTGAGACCAATGGACCTCGCCTTTTCCTCCAAAAGTATGCTCATACTCTGAGCCCAACCTCATTTACCTTTTCTCTAGGTTGAATACAATCTACCTTTCACTTCTCCTGGGGTCTAGAACACCCAAATGCACTGAAAATCTGCTGATTTTTGCACTGTATACTCATTACTATAGAGGATCCCCTGAAAATCATCAATCGTCCAATCCTTTCTCTCTACCACCCATGCAAGTCTAGTCCTAGCGTGCTCTTCCTTTAATTTTGGACTTTTTTGGTCAAGCTACTTGCACACATTCATCTCATGAAGCACTTGATCAATTGTTCTAATAGAAACATGTAGTGTGTACCAATTTCACAACCCCAAATGGGTTGTCACATGATCATTCTTGACGGCACTTATTATAATGTGTTTGTCTCAGTGACTAAGGAGTGTAGGTCTTTTAAATCAGGGGGCATTCTCAATTAATCCTTACTCACCTGCTCTCACTAGAGAATTCCTCACTGTTAACCAGGGATGACCGATTAGATGTACGACAGTAGATATAGTCTGAAAGGTGAAGAAAAAGGCAATAATCATGCCCTTTTTGACATTTGTGAGCTCTCAGTGTGCTGTGTTATGCTTATACCAGAATCAATATACTCTTTTAGGAGGCATTGTAAGCTTTGTTTGGATAGTAGTGTAACATGACCGGTATTGTGTCTGTGATATTTCTTCTAAGTGGAGGTATTTATTCTCACTTAGCACTGCTGACTAAGCTTTCACCAAGACTTATGTCTAGTGACTGTATAATAGTAATAAGACATACTGGACTAATATGTGTACAGCCACTCGACATAAGTGTTTGGCATCTAAGACAAAGTAAAATTGCGGTTGGATTACAGTAGGTCCTAGGCCATCTGGTAGGGTAACCTTGGGGTTATTAATGGATAATCGATCAACATTTGGTATTAACGATCAACACTGGTTGTGTACAATCAACTTATAAAAATATTAAAGTACTAGTAGTATGAATTAAATAATAAAATAGCTAATATCTTGTATAACCTCTCCTTGCTTCTGATACTGCAGCTACCCTATCAGGCATTGATTTCCACAACTTCTTAAAAAAACACCACAGGGATTGTTTCTCAAATTAATCATAATACTTGTGAAGGTCTTCTCTGGGCAGCCTCTTTTCCTCCTTAGATATCTCCAATCCTTGGATACTGCTAGTGCAATTGCTTTTTAAGCTTAATCCAGATATGCTCTATAGGATTCAAATCAGAGCAATAAGGAGGGTATTCTACAACTTCAATACAGTTTCTCTCCAGCCAATATATTACACTATAAGTCATGTGAATAGGTGAATTATCATGCTGAAACAGGATATCTTGCATACCAAAAAAAATCATTTAATAAATAACAGGAAAAAGATGCCTTCTCAAAAGTCAGATATACCTGTTTTTGTTGATAGTTTGAGTAATTGGAACTAAGGGACCTTGTCTCTTACTCCAAAAGCACCCCCAAACTATAACTGATATTCCCTTATCCTTCTTCTTTAGATGTATACAATCTGTCAACCATTTCTCTGCAGGTTCTCTAATCACCCACAGTTGTATTGGATTCTAGGATTTCTTTTGACTACACTCATCACTCCATATCACTTTCTCAAAATCCTCAACTGTCCAGTCCTTATGAACTGTAGCCTACTTCAATCTCTTAGCAATATAGTCTGGCTTCTGCCTGGGACTTGACTTGGCTAGCCATTTTTTGATATTTGCCACCCTGAGTACCCAGTCCACTGTGGACAAATATATTAGAGAATCATATCATATCGCTCAAGGTAGTACAGACTTACCTGTATCAAGTGAAACACCAAATACATATTTATCCCTGAATGGAGATCTCATCATTTTCTGGTTGGATTTGGCAGTCTTAATGTTTGTAGAAAGCTGTGGACAATTCAAAATGGGTGTATGACCGGGACGAGGAAGATTTTCTAGAGATTAATGCTTACATGCCCGGACAAGGAAACTCTTAACTGTTGTCCAATGCCATCCAATGATTTGAGCAACCAAAATAACATTCCGGATGTAGTAGAAAAAGGTGATTATCATGTCCTTCTCTGCAAGGCTCATTTCTCTCAGGCAGGTTTTGGATGTAGGTCTTTTTTTGGCCGCATTCTTGGAATTTCCAGATCAGTTAACTATTGGTAAGAATGGTCGGTCGCAATCGGTTGAATGGTCACGATCACTATCATAGCATTGCAAGCTGGCATATTAGTGAGGTGGGAGGTAGCTTAGTCACCTGAGATACATTTCATAAACACTTTTGCTGAATGGCTTTAGGTACTAGCTATCAGGTAGCTAGAGGTTGGAAATATCATCAAAGATGTTATCATTCTCAAAATGACATCAAACCTATCTATACTAGTCTTAATAATTTCTTCAATTTTGTCCAAAATATCCTCATTATTAACCTGAAAGAGAGTATCATCCATTCCATTATCATTATCACTTATAGTCTCAAACAAGGACTTGGTCTTCTCTGAAGGATTACTAGTACCTGGTAGGCTAAAGCGTTGTTGATTAAGTTGTAAAATTTAATTATAAGTACTATAAATCAATAAGATATATTGGATAAATTATTTAAATTATAGAAAATTAGTTTAGAATTACAGATCTTGCGTAGTCTCTCTTCTCTATATTGTGATAAAATTAGGTAAATTTCAAATGAACTGCAACTACCACTTTGTAGCAGTAGTTTCAGGCTTAGTAATCTTGCTTGTAATAAGTCTCTAAATAATAATATTAGAAACTTAAAACTATAGTGAATAGCTAATATATAGGAAATGAAAATAATAGATACCCATTTAGCTGTAGCAATTTTTATCATGCTTTGACTTTCAGACTTCAGAGCTGAAAAAATCTTTTCCTGAAGTAGTGCTTTGGCCAACTGCTTAACATGTAAAATACCAAGCTCAGCATTTAAAAGAAAAAATTTTATTTTACTCTTTTCTTCAAAAAGAATAGTAGACAAAGATTAAAGAATACAGGTCTTCTTTTCATCAATACATTAAACTGTAAGTGCTTTATATTCTAGTTGATAGAGTAA